CTTATCAGTGTGAACTCCTCGTCAAACAGCCAAACAAAACTAATGTGAACCAAGGAGAGTTCAACAACACGGGCAGAATAAGAATTTTAGAATTTATAAAACAAGTTGTTGGCATCAGGCCATTTCACAACTACAACACTGGCTCCAACCAGTCCATTTTCACTTTAGTGCACAAAACAGGGGTCTACCCCTCCACTGGGAGCTGACGGGTGCATGAAATGTGACAAAGCTATTGCACCTACTGTGTATTTTTTTTCTGTAAAAGTAAGGGCTGCAGGATTCATCAGCAAAGGAAATCACCAAATAAAGACTTTGGTTGGATACAGTACAGTAAGCATATCTGTGAGTGGCCAGAGTCCAGTCACACAGGGGAATATTCAACAGTTCCTCACTGCAGCACTGCCTCGTCAGGAAAAGAACAGAAAAAGTGAAAAGAAAGTGGAAAGAAAAACTAGAGGGAAAGCATTAAAATCAGTCCATGCTTACCAGGGCCTTTTGTTTTTCCCTGAGCATAACATTACTTCCTTCCCCGCTTTATTTTTCATCAATCCACAACCTGGAGTTGCACTGAATTTGCAGGAATAAATATGCTGGTTGTGCATCTGTAAAATTAAAGCACAATGTTCATTGAACCAGCAAAAACAGTTTGGTATTTTCAGTGCAGTATGTGAAATCAAAAATGAACAAAAAAGAAGGAGAATTATTGATCCTTTGTCCACCATTAATATAGAAATCCTGTCATTTCTACCATATTTAGACTGGATTACATTAGATTAGATTACATTAGATTAGTACATCAGACTGAACCTTGATTTTACACTGGGAAAATTGTTGACATTTATACAACACTCAATCAGGATAAATTACATGGAAAGGGATTGGAGGTACTCAGGTTATACTGTATATGTATCAGCCTTGTACCCAGTTTCTTTATCTACTAATACTGTATGAGACGGGCGTCCTGATGTGTGAATTTTGGAGACATTTAAATTTGAAGATTTTTGAAGATTCATTAGAGAATTTCAGGTTTTTCAAGTGCATAGTTGGGCAATTTATACATTGTTGATTATCAACTTTTTGCCATCATAAATACAGACACCTCATACACTGACAACAGTCATACTGACATAAGATGATGTTGATGGTCTTGACTAAATACGGGTTTAAGTTTGATATATAATTAAAACCAGTTTTATTACTTTTTACTTTGACTAAATACCTAGAGAAAGGGCAACCATAAATTACTAGAAAATTCATGAATCTGCGATAAATCTAAAATAACAACTTTTTTGGTGATTATACTCTTTATTAAGTTATTGCTGGCATCGGATTACAGGTCTGATCTCTGATCTGCCCGATAATAATGATTATTTAGAAACAAAAACAGCTCAAACGAAGCTGGTTCATTGTGTTCAATGAAACCAGGTAGGGTAGACGACGACAGACCTTTTAACTCCAAATCTCTGTGGAGACATGGCTTAAACAGGCTTATAACAAGAAAAAAAAGTCTCATTGTGTAATTGTATTTGTGTTAAAGGATATGTTAATTCTGACTTACTAGCCGCCTGTTGCTGACCACTGCTCTGAAGGACGAGGGCAGTGAGCGACATGTATAATCCTTTCATATTTAGCAGGGTAATCACCTTTCATTACATAATCCTCAAGTGTCTCTCACTGCCATCAGTTATCTGAGACAATCCGGCAGAGCAGGCCGATTCAAAATAAACTATTAAATTACAAAAATATACCATTTCTTCTGAATGCTGCACAAGGTAAGAATATAAATATAATAATGGTTCATATATAGTCAGTGCCAACAAGCTGTTTTTAGCTTTGCTGTTTACACTAACAGGTAGCAGCCCACTTACTCACTGACAACACTGTGTTTGTTGTATCTGTATCTCAAGTGCATTTCATAATAGGAGCAAACAGATGGCCAAGCCACCGTTTGCATTTTCTTTGATTCAATAGTTGTGCTCCTGCTGATTGTTTATATGCAAACAGTCAGGTCACAATTATTAAGAATGATTCAAAACAAGAGATGAATGTTTCCCAAACACACTGGCAGAGAAATTTGGACTCAAATGGTTAAAAAAAAAAAACTGGCCTTCATTTTCTGCCTGTGTGCAGTTAAACTAAAGGTGACAGTCTCATTTCAGANAAGAAGAGGGGGCAGGGGGTGAGAAAACAGTTGATGGGGTGTGAATATAGGGGAAGGTCCAAATGCATTTTTTATCACTTGTTTATAGTTCAGACACAGGGTTGGCCCAGTGGGATTGATCGTCTTCTGACAGAACTGCGGGAGAACAGAAAGTACTTCTTCTCAGCACCAGGTTAGCAGCAGTGTCTTTGTCATCTCTCCATAGATCATTCAGTCTCTCTTTCTACCCAAACACACAACCCCGGAACAGCTGGACACAAACTTCTGCTTCATCTGCCATCTGCTAACTTAAATTTTAGAACAACTAGAGCAGTAAAAACACCACATCCAGTGGTCCCTCTCCTCTCGCGGTGTTTGTATCCAAAGACCTGCCGTGAAAAGGGAAAAACAGAACCTTTCCATCTTTTTACCATCGAAACATCCTATTTATCATAAGTGAAGAGTGGTGTAGAGTGTAGGGTCCCTGTTGATGACTGATATTTCTTTTACGCCACTTTTCTTTTTCTAATCAAATCTCAATGTTGTTGGAATATCAGATTAAAATAACTGTAGGGCCTCGGGGGAATAATCACCTTTATTTTGTGTCTGTTTTTGTCCTGTCCTTCTCTCCAGTTGTTCTTGTGAAATATATTTAGAATTTCAATTGCCTGCTCAAACCCCTGACGTTGCAGTAACAGCCCTCGAGTTCAGGCTGCTCTCCATCATCAGCTGTGTTAGCCGTGATTGTTTGGGGCCTTTCCACCTGGACCTCAATTTCATTACTTCAATTAACCTGATTAGGATCTAAGATTGCCTGTGACAGGCTCCATGATTGACATCAATTGGCCATTTAGGAGATGTACAGCAGCCACAGTATTGCTTAGTGACCTGAGTGGTGAACCATGCATGTGTGCAGTGTTTGTGTGTGAATAAGAAAGTGAGTGAGTGTGTTAGTGTGTTTGTTTACTCTGATGGGAGTTTTTACTGGAAGAAGATGTAGATGTAGATGCAGTTGTTCAGGTGAGCCGGTTTGAGAGTGTGTTTGTGCACACACCTTAAAAGTCCAAAGCCCATTTTTAAGGATTGATTTTGTTTTCAGATTAGAACTAGGGTTCATTTAGGTACTAGTATCAGGATAATACATCAGCAGCTACTGTACTATTTCTGTAGAGTAGCTGACTCAGTAACTGCTACAGCGGCAACAACAAACACATGTATCCCTGAGCTAATGATTAAGTCCTAAGGATAAACCAAAGATGCTTTGCTAGTTGCAAAAGCAGGAACCACACGACTATTTTCCCTCCTGCTTTTTTATTACCTCAGTTTACTTAATCGCACAGGTTCCTAGCTCCATATCTTCCTGAGCAAACACAATATATTCTTATCAAATGCAATCATGATATAGAATATATATATGTTGAAGTTAATTAAAAGTTTTTATAATTGAAGGTAATTATTTAGATTGTATTTATTTATTTTTTCCAAATACAGTGATAGGTTTTAACTGTTTTTACAGTAGCCAACATTAGACAGACTGCAGTATATTCACACATTCTCTTGGACATTTTCTTGGGAAATTTAACAACAATATATGCTTTTACCACTAGGTGTTGCTAAATCCTACATTGTTACTATAAAACTATTTTTTTTCGCTGGGAATTACTTTGCTCGTACAACTGCCACAGGCATCTGCTACATACAAACATCTGGGGGCAAAACTGTCATGTTTTTATGTCCTTAATAGAGACAGAGAGAGATGAAGTGTCCTTGGCTGCGTGTACTGCCGGGTATATCAGAGGATTCCAATAAATTTATTGCTGTATTACAGACCTTAACTACAGTGAACCACGAACAGATGTTATAAATACTTTCTGACTGATATTATGTGTGAACTTGAAAATGTCTTTCCTCTCTGCCCCACAGTTTAACATGCTGTAAGCGTGTTGCCATCAGCATGTATCACATGCACCCTGATTGCAGCAAAGCGTGACAGACAGGCAATCACTACACAGTCATGGCATGTTTAGTTTGACCAAGTGGGGATTGGGAATGCTGCATGCTGGGTAGGGACACATTAAGCAGTTGAGCATAATTTAAAGATTTTGCGAGTCCTCATTGTCTGGTTTCATTACTGCTGTCCAACTCCATGCAGCCCAGAGTAATGACCGCTGCAGCAGATCTGTTTCCCAGGCTTGCAGCGTGTTGCTGGCATGTTACAAAATGGGTCGAGGTATTATGTTTATAACATGTCACAGTCATTCATCATACACCGAGAGCGAGGGGAGAACGTGCGCCTTTTAAACACATCCATAAATGTCTCATTCAAATTCCCTTGTGCAACACACACTTGTAATTATAATTCACTCCTCTTTTATTTATCCTCACTCCCCCTCATGTCCTCTTTTATCTTTTCTTTTCCATGCCCTTCTTACTTGACTCTTCCACTCGTCCTAGCTGCCTTGAGATGTCAAATCACTGTCATGGTGTATCAGTAGATTTTAGTGCTATTGTAGGTTCTATTATCTGAATGTCTGTCACACTGAAGATAAACAAAAGGTTTGTTTTGTTTGATCTAAAATGATGTGTTTTGCAGTGTTTTAGCCTCTTAAACCCCATGGGTTTGTTTTAATGCAGTGATTTATCATTCTTATTGATCAAGCAGCCCCCGCCACAGTGGGAAATGTCAAGGTGCTGTAGTCAGAGCGTCTGTGTCTAATGTCTCACTGACTCCTGCCTAAAACACGTGCACGGCGTCAGTCTTTGTGCAGTTACTAGCTTTGGGACTTGACAGTAAACTTCGCTCTCTGATTGTTCTAATAAAAACAATTTACTTTTTAAATGTCTCAACTGATTCATCTCTTTGTCTCTTTTTTCCAGGATGTCTGTGAAAAGTGTGAAAGGGAGTACAGACAGTAGATCGACGTCTGTGGCCAGGTCAGCTGAACACAACTGAAAATGGACCTTTTAATAATATTAGATGTAAAGTTTTTTTTTGTTTAAATGATCAAACTCAAGAAAAGTTCAATCTGACTCAGTAATGACGCATGTAATGTACTTTGAAGTGACTATTATTTCTGTCTTTGTTAGCCTGTCTCCCAGAGCGGGAGGAAGGGCTGCAGCAGCTGGACGACAGCCTGCTGCTGGGAGATTCAGGAACAAGGCCCTTCAGCTAAGCCTCTCCAAGAAATTTTGGTGATTATAATTATCTGTTTCTAATCAACATTTATGAGGACAAAGAGAGTGGCTTGTGTAGATACGTGTATCCAATTTGTGTAATTGATTGGTACCAAAGCAACAAAATGAGCGCTGAGAATACAAAATTTACACCCACTTACACGGTCGACCCCTCTCCCCTGGTCAGTGGATCGATCGTGTTCTGTCCGACCAGTGGTTCAGTAATAGTCGGATGGAATATAATATTTTTGAATATTTGTGTTAGAGTCCAGATTTTTGGTGGAATTGTTGACACTTCCTAACAGTTGGTGTGTAAATGTTCACTTCACAGTTCAAATTCACAGTCCCGCTCGGCCAAAGGGAAGAACTCTGGTGTGGAGGCGGCTTCCAAGCGCGGTAAAAGGAGTCTTAGCAACAGCTCAGCAGTAGCCGCTGCCTATATCTCTTACCTCAACAAACTGTTTGGACAGGTCAGCTCTGAGCTCTACACTATATTTCATTTACATTGTTTGGTGCCACAGGGTAATAAAGATCTCTAATAAGTTAATAATTATTATTTTAAAAATGTTCTAAAGGATGACAGTAAAATACAGGCCACACAGTAGCTGTTAAAATGTCACAATTGGTCCCTGAACCAGACTTTAAAAACGCCGCATAATAATTGGACATAAGCTTATAGTCACTTTCTCATTTGCAGTTCTAGAAATATGTTACAGACATTGGTATATGGCGCTTGAAGCTACATAAAAATCTCATTCTGAAATGTTCAATGTATGAATAATGAAAATCATGTTTGATTGGCGCATTTATGCAAATTCACAACCGCAAAGTTTTAGTGGGCGAATAAAAACACAAAAAGGTTTAATTTTCTAAGTATGTGTGCTTTGTCTCTGTGAGCTAACATCCTTAAAGAGAAAATATCGCCTGGAGAGTGGCTCACATACATATTTTACCTACACTCTGCATGTACTTTTATATAAAATTACATATTTTTTATATTATTTTAGCAATTGTTTTCCTCCATTAATCAACATTTTTTATGCAAAAGGAAAATCACTGATTCGTGATTTTCTTCTTTTCTTTCACTGGTGTTTTTCTTCTTTTTATTTCACTCTTCACATTGTGTCATTTAAATGTCTTTTTATGATCGTCCTTTTGTCTCTAATTACTACTCTAATTATTTGCATTTGTAAGGAGCCAGAGGATTTTTTAAATGTCCTGACCACAAGTGTGCATTGAGATAAATTACATTATTATAAAATTAATGACAGCTTGAATCATTCAACAATATTTAATTTAAAAAAACTGATTGACAGTTGAGAAGAAGAATTTAAGTCATTTATATGAAACAGATTTACGATGACCTATCTGAACTTGGTGCTCTCTAATTCCTTCCATAATCCACTGTCTTGATTGATCGGCTGTAGACTGCCTGACTGACAAGGTAGAAAGTTCTGTATAAGGTTACATTTTCTATTTATACTTCTATACTTTGCCCTGAGTGTGGTGCTGCAGAAACTCTAATCCTGCTTTAACATAGTGTTAATGACTCCACAACTCCCTCAGCAATGTTCAATCTCAGAGCTCATTAGATCCAACCTGATCCGGAAGAGATAAATTACCAACAATAACAGCTGATGGATTTGAATGTCAAACAGGCCAAAGGAAGTTGAGTACATGTGTACGTAAACAGAACCTCACCGAAACAATGACGACATTAAAGCGTATAGCTACGGTATACTGTATGTGGTGCAATGTGTGTGGATCGGGCACGGACACACGTGAGCACGTCATGCTAACAAAGACAGAATGAAATTAACTGTTAATGGGCTCGTACTGGCAGATGAATTGACAGTCTGCATGGCATGCTGTCTAATCCTTTCAGAATGAAAAAAACAAAAATCAAATTATTGTGATGACCTTGGTTTCTAAATATGTCCTTGTAGACCACAGGAACCCTGGCATGCTAAACAGCAGGGCTCCAGGTAAATCTTGTATCTATTTGATTGTTTTTAGGCAGAGGAATTATTCTAATGGTTTATGTAAAACCGTGGTGTTTCAAATTGATTTTTTTTCTTTTCTCCTGTATTAATGCTTTAGCTTTGTTCTTTGGCAGAACTACAGAGTGAGTAACGATTTGAACACATGCCATGCAGAGCCATTTCCTAACTAGTCTGACCTCTCTTTTTCCTCCAGCTATTGTGCACCTGAACAGTACGACCTTGTGTGATTTATGTATTAGCAATTCTGGTGCCAACATGTATTAGGGGGAAATTATAGGATTTTGTAAAAAAAAAAAAAAAAAGTATTAGTACTGCGGCACAAGTTTCAACTTTTACAGCATGCTGTATTACTTCTTTTCTGCGAGGAACGTGTGCGATGGCAGAATTAAAACACATCCTACATAAAAAAACAAGTTTTAATGGCAGGTTGGCAGATGTGTAGACTTTGGGGTAAAAGAGGACACACGCGGTAGGGTGTGACGTGGGTATGTGAAGCACACTGCTGTGCACTTTATTGGTTTGACACTTTGAAATAGTGTAATTCACATTATCTGTGAGAGTGGATGTGACACGCATTCCCAAGAATATTGAGTCACCTAGTGATTGTAGCGCTAACGTCTGGTGCCCTCAAAACTCAGCTTTTTTACATAAGATTGCAGCATAAGGTTTACTGCAGGCTATGAGTGTTTTATATAAAAAAAATAAAGAGGAAAATATGGTTCAGGTTTTCTTTCACTGCTCATATTCTTGAGTCTTGATGCTCACTGCAGAAACATGACAAAAAGAGCCCAGAGCAGAGTGACATTAAAGCTTTTCGGAGCTTTTCTGTCAGTCTCCGTCAGTCTCTTGGTCTCTCTGAACCTCCTTGTAGTGTATGATGCTAAGTGATATCTCCATGTCAGGCTAAGCTTCTCTGAATGATATGAGCTTCTATATTTCTTTCATTTTTCATTATAGTTGAACTTTGCACGCCCCTGGTCATGGTGCTGAAGGCAGAGCCATGAAAAACATTTGCCCTGAGGCAAGTTATAAGGAGCACTTCAGGGGATTGTTTTCAAAGAATAATACATTTTAGTTTGACAGAACAACCTGAGGAATGCTAATTAAAATATTTACTCATATGCTAACTTCAGTTATCAAAGAGCTACTGGATGTGATGTGTGTCGTGTGTACCACACAGGACGCATAAATGCCTTTACATCCTGGTACAAAGCAAGTGTTATTGCCCCTCAGCTTACAAAGGAACCCTTTTGGAAACCTGACATTCATGACCGACTTGCTGTGTGATATATGTAAGTGCCGAACCAAGTCCTTAGAGACTGGAAACACAATACATCAGCATGGTTTGGAACATTTGACTTTCATTTAGGAGCATGTGTTCTGTAATGAGGCTTCTCCTCTCTCTGGGAGTTACGGTTGGTTGGTGTGGTTGCCTCCTGGCTAATCTCCTTCCTGGTTGTAAAGACATTGTCCGCAAACCTTGATGTACCTGGTCTAGGGATGGCTTAATACAACGTTTTCATGCCTGACATTGACACTGCAACTTGGAGTATCTGCCGATTCTGAAAATTCAGGTTAAGCATTTGGGCTCAGGTATCGCATCAAACAGAGCTATAGTTGATTTCTTTTTCAATGTTGGATCCTGAAATTCTGACCAATATTGGACCAATACTGATCCTGAGTATCAGATCAAGCCATCCCTAAACTGGTCAAAGCCTGGAGGAGGGGCCGCACTCTGGTGGTGGGTAATAACTATGGGCCACCTCTACAACAGCGAATTCAAAAGTGGTAGGGGTGCACTGCTGGACCGCATGTGCAGGACTTACCTGATTGTTGGTGTTGATTCTAGGAGTAGATGGACTGTAAGCCTTGGAGAGTTTCCTTGACAACGGCTTCTGAAGGGGTCACTGCTGCTTGGTGATCTCTAAACAAATGAAACACAAATAAAACTTAATTTACTAAAGGCATTGTAATATTTGTTGATTACACCAAAAACTACATCCTGTTCTCAGCAACATAACATGAGGCATGGAATTATTTTGTTTGAAGCATGTTTTCCTAAGGTGTAAAGAGGACACACTCTTTGGCAAGTGTTATAAGAAAACACAATATATTGGTGGTGGGAACAAGGACAAGAGGAACAGAGTTTTCACAGTTAAAAAATCCTGGTTGAACAGATAGAGCTGGTCTAAAAGTCTCATCCAAGGTCTTGAAATTCATTTTTCCCCTCCTATCTACTGCAAGTGCATGCATTTCTTACTTATTTTAATCAAAACTTTCAGTGAGCCGCCAGTAGAATTAATTAACATATTGCCATTAAATCATCCTGCATACTTAAATGTAATCCTCATCATTATTCTGGAAGTCTGTGCAAAGATGTTTTTATTTCCAGTTTAAAGCTCTGCCTCAAAAATGCATGAAGATAAGGGCAAAAATGACAGTAAAAGGGAAAAGGGAGCTGGAGATTAGCCTGACCAAATGTCAAAACACAGCAGGGAATGCTAAACATCTCACACACAGTGAATTGCAAATCATGTCTTGAGTCTGCACAGTTAGACTGTGTGTCTTTACACACAGTTTCTGTCACACAGTCATTGTACATGTTTGCATGCGCACAAACTGAGCTAAGCTAATGCCGTATTTCCCACAGGATCCTGCCAAGTGTGTGTGTACACGTATACACACATTATGTTGTATTGTGTCATTTTGCAAATTAAAAAGACATGTCACCGGGTGAAATCCCATTAGACCTCCTATCAGTATGCAGCAGTGTTGACAGGATATGGGTGTTATTCTAAATTGGTAGTCAAAAACAGATTATCACTTGGTCTTCTGGAGCATCTGCAGTTTTAAAGCCATGCTGACGTTCCACCCTGCCCTCCTTCGCTGTGTTTTAATCATTTCTCTTTTGTCTTTACGTATCCACTCTGCAGGAGAGAGAGCTGATGCCTCAGGAACTAGATGGTAAGACATTGTGGGTGTAATTCAGATGCAAACACATGATAAATGGCTCGTGAATAAATGCACAGCTTAATCAATCCCTGATGTTTCCCCCTGTTGAGCTTCCTCCTCCTCAGTGGAAGCCTTCTTCTTCTTCTTCTTCTTCTCTGTATTTACCTTGAACTGTTGTTTACCGATGACTCAGAGCTACAGAATAAATCAACTCACCAAAGTTACTGTTCTTTACGACAGTAACTGTAGTTGTGTCTCATCAATAGGTGCATTGATTCTAAACTGCTGTCACTGTCAGACACACACGTGTTTCTTTTGTATTCTGCTTGTGCCTATCAGAGCTGCGGGAGGCCTTCAAAGAGTTCGACTATGATGCAGATGGTTTCATCCATTACAAAGACATCGCAGACTGTATGAGAACCATGGGATACATGCCGACGGAGATGGAGCTCATTGAGATCATCCAGCAAATCAAAATGAAATGTATGTAACAATCTGCATAATTTTATGTGCTTTTATTTCCTCTTCATTTGTTCGAGCACACGTGCATACTGTAGGCAGGTGTGAGTGTGTGTGTGTGTGACCAAGCACAAGCTCATGTGTGCTGTTTCTTTATAACATAGTTAACATAGAGTGCCAGTGAAGAAAGTGGAAAACAAAGAGGTTTTCCTGTATGGATTTATATATTTTTCAATGGATTATCAGTGTTAAAACACAGATCTGTGCAGCTGAGGAGAATGTGAATCGTGATTGCATTGATTGTTGGATTTCTGCCATAAACCTAAAAAGACTGTAACGCCTACATGGTGTCAAACTTACATGTGCAACTTAAAAACAGCAGTATGTTTTTGCCAAGACCTTACATAAACCTATAACAGTCAGAGATCCATAGTGATCCAGATGGCTGTTGTCTATTATTGGGTCAATGCTGCTCAATGCTTAAGAGTCCACTAATCTGTGAAGTTGTACTCTTCAACTTCACAGATTAGTGGAGGGACTATAAAAGGCTCACAACTACACAACCTTAAATTTATGTTCAGCAACAAAACAGTTTTGTTTCGACATTCATGACATAACATCCTCTCACAGTTTAAACTGTGTTACTGAGATTCTTGCTCAGCCCACTCACATCAAGCACGTGGCCCTTTTGGAGCTGCATCACAGAGACCTACTGGGTCTGTTTCCAACTACTAAACATTTTCACCCAGAAATGTCCACATAACTTTAAAAAAGGTCAATGCAGAGGACACACATTCCATTTGATACAAAACAATGAATGGGGGAATTATCTCATTTATTTTTCTGAAGAATAAATGAGATTTACATATGAGGAAAACCTGAAACCGAGAAATTATTATTTGAGTGACAATTACATAAAATGAACCGAAGTGATGTTCAACATTACACTAAATAAAATATTCCTATGGTCAAGCCAAGACACAGTCTCTGCAGTGTTGGTCAACTGCAGGTAAACTGAGTAAAGCAGGGGTTAAACAAGTGTTTAAGGAGCAACAGATCACTATGAATTTTTAAATTCACATTACAGCTGAATACACTCAGAGGCTGGCATGAAAGTGCCTTAGTTTGTGTGGTAATTTGAATAATCGATGATATCATTAGTTCATACAGTAACAGCTGGCCCTGCACAGGAAACTACATTGGCAGAGTTTTTCTTGAATCCCCCCTCTAACATTTAGAGGTCATCACACGGGTCAGGTGTTGAAGCAGTTGGCCAACTCTGCAGAGGAAGCCTACAACTGTTCCAGTTGTGTGTTGTGCCACATTCACACCACAAAAAAAAAAAAAAAGGAAACGTGATAATGAACATTATATAAGATTTTTAGATGAGTATTAGTCATTTTTTGGTACATTATTAATCTATGTTAAAAAGATCACTATTTAGTCCCATGCCCATTTGGTCTTTTGACCCACAAAGAGGGCTCAATAAATCTCAATAAATAACTCCGCCTGAAACAATACATCAAATGCTACATCATCATTTACAGTATATCACAACTTGTTTAATTACATGCCTTTGGGATCCACTAATTAACTAAGTATAATCAATTAGGATAAAATGAAGGAAAATCTGCTTCAATTGAACTAATCAAAATCTATTCTAATCAAAATCGTTAAAAAAAACATCAACAGTAGCAAATGAATTCCACCATAAACTAGATTTCCTCATTGGTCTTGATCAAATGTTAAAATGAAATTTAAATGTGCAATTAATAAACCATGCCATCCACCTCTGTTTTGTGATTATTAATAATTACTTCATTAGGAAAAACAGCTGCTGGTGCTAATTTTCCAGATGGGTGCTGTTGAGAGATTAAAAAATGATGAAACATGCTAATGTAATTAAAACTGCATCACATTATAATCATGGCAACATGTGATGCCTATTGAATGGCAACTGTTAACAATACTTAAAGGAATAAAACTAACTGCTCCCTGATTGTAAAAGATATTGATTTACATTTTTTATGTTGTTAGATCTGAAATGCTATTTTCACATTTATTGTCACACAGTGACTTATTCCCTTTTTTCAATGTACCTACAATGAGAAAGGAGAGTCTTGCCAACTTTTGATTAATAAACTTAGGATTTCAAGTGCAAACCACAAGGACATTATTTTTGGGCAAGCAAAAAAACTGCAGAAAAAAAGAGAAAATTCTTTTGCGGTTTATATATCAAGCAAGGAAATGGAAGGAACAGAGCTCTTTGTCCCTGCAGTCGTTTCAATAAAGTCACCTCTTGTCGCAGGTGTACCCTAATCTTTGATAATACCAGTCATTGTAATGTTTTAAGTATGGAAAGCAGTCATTTTATATCTAAATTTATATGAGATAGCCAATTGTTTAGAAGCAACTTGGCAGAGTAGACATGTAGAAAGAAGACCAGCCTGCTCTGTCCTTGAATTTTTCTGCACAAATATTGTTAGGTTTTACAAAAAAAACAAACAAACATTGTTCTTCATGGAGCCTTTTCGTGTAAAAACATTTAAAGGATTACCTGTTTTACATGGTCAAAACGGCGTGAGAGTGTGGTGTGGAAAGAGATTATGGAAGTTTAAGAAGACACAGGTGGGGAAGATTAACTAATCACCTGAGGAAAACAAAGGAGGCGGGAGATGTGGACAAAGAGACTAGTGGAAGCTAATGAAAAGGAACTAGGAGTATTGGGCATGTAGCCTTCTCACCCTGGTCTGAAGGTGGCGCTAAGTACTGTTTAATGTATTTTTAAAGTAATGAATAAGCAACACATTTACTGTGACTATTCATTGTCCACTACAGGAGATACAAACCCTTAATGACATTTAGCATGTGTCAGTGTTTTAAGAGCACGCACAGTGGATTAATTACATGTTGGCGGTTCTACTGCACAGTACGACAGCACATAAGGTTATATGACAGAGTAGGTGTTCAACAAGGCTAGGCCAGGCCAACCCTGCTAACCCAGCAGCAGTGCTTCTTCTGTGGGCTTTACCGGCAGGACATTAATCCTGTGAGTTGCATTACTGTAGCCTGACAAATCTATTATTCAAAGTTAAATATTTCATTTGGAGAACATCGTGAATACTTGCAACAGAAACTGAATTATTATATTCACAAAACCCAATACTATGAGTTAATATTTACAGGTATCCCGCGTATTACAGCTTTAAATAACTCTAGCTACAACTGAGGTATGCTGATGAGTAAAGCTGAGCACACAGCATGCCATACTCTGAGGCAGATGGTCAAGAGCAGCAGAAGACTACAGTGCGTGCCACTCCTGTCAGTTATGAACAGAGAGAAAACCTACTGTTTGCCCAGGCTCAGCAAACATCAACAATAGAAGTCAATGCAGCAAATCAGAAGCAACTTTATAATGCTGATTGTCAATATGGACCAAATCCACTCAGTGGTTCTATGCAAACAGAGTTGTAGGGTGGCTGTTAAAGCAAAATGAATCCAAACCATTGTGTGCAACTGTTCCCTAATAAATATGCCAGAAAGTGAATGTGGGAAACTCAATCTATACAACCACCATTTCTATTGAAAATATAGCTAAAGTTTCCAACAGCACTGCTTTGGCGAATGTTAGTAAAATGTGTTTTATTTTAACACTGTGTACATGAATAATTCATGTCCTCACTGATACCTTAATGTGACCAAAAAGGTATTTTTAGAAATCCTAGCTCATTTGCTTTGTAGTCCAATCCCCATAGAGCATTCATGCCATGAAAGTCATTTTTCTATAAGTGGAAATTCACTTTCAATTACAAAATATTAATAAAAGGCTTGTGGGATTTTTTTTCATCCCTGTGATCATAGAATGACCTACTTATAGGCAGATAATTTCTTCCAGGCAGTGTCAGGAATCCCCACGACTGTGGTTCCACAGGGGTGAAGCAGCCAGCCAAAAACTTCACCTGGAGTCGAGTGAAAAATATTTTTTTGTTAACTCAGAATCATGGAATAAAATAGTTTACATTATAAAAGTTTTCTTAACCCTTCTACAAAAGTTGTTTACGTCAGAGAATTTCTTCTTTTGATTTTGGGCAAAGAAGAATAATATATGGCGCTAGAGCAAACGTTTAGTTTGCTCTAGCTCCATATATTATTCTTCTTTGTCTGAATTAAAATGATGCTTGCTTTCATTTAAAAACTGATCAATTGTGAGGGTTGATTCTGACTGAATGAGACTGGCTGATGGCCCTGGTCTGGTACCTAGCTTTTATTTTTGACATCAGTGTTCGATGTATTTACTTTGTTGTGAAGTTGTTTGGAAAAGTATCAGCATTCATTTTTGTCTCTCTTTGCAGGGGGTGGTCATGTGGACTTTGATGATTTCTGTGAGCTCATCGGCCCCAGGATGGTTGCAGAAACAGCTCACATGGTGGGACTGAGCGAGCTGCGCTCTGCCTTCAAACAGGTGAGAGGTCGGAAGCTCCAAACTCCAAAGACTCCAACTTCAAACAAGCATCTGTGGTGTTATGACTGAACAACTGACAGACTCCCAGCAGAGTGTGTCTTATAGACGTAAACAAACATGTCTAGATGGAAGGTTCTACGTTTTCTACTTTCAAAGATACTTTAAAAAAAACAGAAGTAATCATTTAAGACATGTCTCAGACATATACAAGATTTTTATCATTAGCAATTAGCTTCTTTCCATTTAATTTCATCAAGTTATCCATCATTTTAGCCTTCCTCTAGCTCCACTGATGTGGGAAGAAGACTGTGACCTGGTACCAAAGATGTGACTTTATATTTTACATAGACGAGACTCTCTGCTGAAAACAGCACATGAAGAGTTTGGACTAACTGTGAGGATAGATGGTGAAACAGCTTTGTTATTTTAATGAATAGTTTTTAAATTTGTTTGATCCTGTATATTTTTCTCCAAAGTTGTGCTAATTTTCCATGTCTACTTGATTTAAAATGTTGTGTTGCCTCATTAATCTGGCGGACGTATATCTTTGGACCCTTTCTAATGTCAGTACAGAAGCAGGTGCACAGAAACACCGACATGGATTTGATTATGCCCCAGAGCAAAGCCTCTGTGTGCTGTGGACTGAGCAAAACAAATGTGGTCTTGATATTATTTATGTTCTCTCTCCTGAATTTAGCCACGTGACAAATTACCCTATTATAGTTGGTAAACAACTTTATGTCCATGCATAACTGCATACAGTTAGTTTAAGTTGATTTGGCTCTTGAAAGCAGGGTTTTTTGCATCACTCCAAACTTACTCAAAAAACATAGTGTGTTTGTACAAATTACCAGTGAGGAATGCTGACTAATTCTTCTGTGAAAGACAACAATAGAATCATTTACCTGCGTAGAAATATTCAACCTTTTTTGCTGCATGTAATTAAGTTAACAGCGCGCTTTATTGTAAGGGTCGACATTTTCTCCTCCACACATGCGTCATCAAGTTCTGAGTAATGCTGCCAAGAGGTGGAAATTCATGTTTTTTTAGTGGGTAAATGCTTGCGTGGAGAAAAATGAAATACTTTCAATCTCTCAACTATTGTTCTAAAGAAACTTCACGATAGAAATGAATACATTAAAACATCCTGCCAGCCTTTTTTCAACCCTTCCTCTCAGCACTCACACCCCTGCTCTTATTCTACAAGTTCAAGCTGTTACCTCCTTTGTGCAAAGATGACTAACTACAGCACGCGATTTTTAAAACAGCACACTTCGCTTTGTCTGTTTCATCCATTTGCATCATAATGTAGAGGAACCAAAGTTTAAAAAGTAAATACTCACACAGTGAATGAGTAACAAGTTACGACATCAACAGAAGCAGAGACAAACTCTTTACAAACTCTCTTGAAAATACATTTCTTTCTAAAAAAAAGACACCCTAGCAACATGATTAATTTTGTCATAATATAATATAATATAACATAATGAATGCACATTGTTGTTTCTAACGCCAGTTTGACTTTAATGGAGATGGAAAGATATCATCTGATGAGTTCAAGGAGGCCATGAAGACGCTGCTGGGGGAGAAACTGAAGAAAGGAGAGCTGGAGGAGATCCTCAGTGACATTGACCTCAACAAAGATGGCAACATTGACTTTGATGGTAACATTGACTTGGGGAAAGAAAAGTAGAGGAGGGGTTGAGGTCCAAAGGCAGGAGGGGGGAGGGGGGAATCAGTGACACTTCAACTTCGAAGACATATGACTAGTGTCAAGAGGATAAAAGCCAAAAGCAGTGATCCATCACTTTAGACACAGTACCAGCATAAAAACACAAAATCATGTTTTTCCAGTGAGTGCTGGTATAAAAGTATAAAGTCTCAAGAAGCTGCGATGTATCTATGATACACTACACAGGACATGATGGGTTTAATGGTAGAACTTTGGTATAATGTGAGTGAATCAGGTGGAAAGGCTAAGATGCAAGTCAGCCAATCAGACATGTTAACACACAAATTAAATGAAAGGACAAAGCATTTAAACCGTAAAATATGAAATTATTATTCTTATTCTACTCCCTGCAATGCCCTTGCGTACCACCAGATATATTTTCCCCCCTACCAGGCAAAAACTGAATATGAATGATTTGCTCACGATAAGGCATTAAAAGAGTGACGGGGAGTTCTTCTAGGTGCTAGTGGTTGAAACAAGGAGCAGACAGGATAAAAAAAAAAGCAGTAAAGAAGTATATTAATTATTGATGACAGCACTGATGAAAGAGATCTTACCACTGGCATTGAGATCATTGACAGAATATGATAGATGAAGATGGATGGGTGCAGGCACATCATTAATAATGTAACAGTTAAGGCATCAATTAATTTATTCTTGTTTGTGTGTTTGGTCCTGGGGGAGCCGCATGCAAGTGTAGCTGATTTTGGGGAAAAAACTCACATATTCTCACCTGATGTCATAAATTCACCATCTCCAATCTCTTTTTGTGACTAGATCAGAAAATTCACCATCTCCAATCTCTTTTTGTGATCAGAAGCTCAGAAGATTCTGATCAAATACAATCGCCACACAGAAAAGTACTAAGGATCACCTTTGTGGTTTGAATCGCGCTAACCGCTGTGCTGCATGAGTAAATCCATCATCAACACACTGTGCCATGGTTAAAAATTCCTCAAATATAGTTTGCGTGTAGTGCATAGAGGATGTGTCTGTCCAGCTCACAGTTGGCAACAGTGGTAACAAAGTCCTGCACACATTACCTGAGGAGGTCAGTGAATTGGTTGATGGTTCAGGGAATGGGAGGCACAAATGAGCGAAACTGAGGCAAAAGCAGACGAGATGAAGGTGAGGTGAAGTCAAGGTGGCTTGGTTAAGGTGGGCAATCTAATAAGCACAGCATTAAGCCAATCAATTCACGTGCATGGGTGTTTGTCATGAAAAACACAATGAATAAAGCTCACAGGTCTTGCTTGGATATCATTACTGTGGTACCAAACAGGTACATAAATACAATCACAAAAAGATCACATGGATGTTATTGTGATTATAGGGTTTAACACATGGGGAGTAAAGAAGTGTGACCCTGTTTGTCTTGTCTCTGCAGTCCAATCAATAACAATTATTGAAACATGAATAGATGTGTCAGTCTCAGCAGAAATCAATAAGCAAATGCTTGTCATTCTCATCAATTAGCCTTCAGGACTTGTTGTGTCTGGGTTTTAAGGGCTTAGTTCAAGGTACCTAGCAAACAATCTGAAGCAGAGTTGTGTAAAAATATCTAACAGCAGGTTATACTGCATGCACAGCGATAGTGTTGTTGGGTTAATATGGAATTAAACCTTTAGTCTTCAGCAACTCAATAGGTTCACACATGAAAGTATTTCACTGCACAGGGCGTGATAGGACAAAAGAAAATTGATTTATTGCAGAAACCTGCCTCAGACTATCTTCAGGCAGGGTTTTATTGACAGGACACATCAATAGCTGTACTGATTGACTTGGGAATCCAGGACAATGGACACCACATTTCCAAGCGAGGCAATCAAATCAAATTAATTGTAATTTAGAATTGTACCATGAAACATGGAAGTTAAAATATTAATAAGTCAATAACCTCTTGCATCAATAATTGTAGGTAAGAAAGTACTCCAAAGCATGAGTTGCTTTCCACATCCTTACATATTATACTCTTTTTATTGATAATTTAATTTCATATCATTGACCTTAAGAATATGCTCTATATTATACCACAGTTTTGTTCCTGTTAATATTTTTTGGGAGGACACTGGGTCTCCTCTGAGGCAATTTGTGGTGAACTCCCTGTCATTCACTGTCATTTTTATAGTCACCTATTTGCCAGTTTTCACTTGCGCTGATAATGATGTCTACTTCAGCTACTACATTTATGATGTTATATTATTATTAGACCTTGTCTCTGGCTCACTTCTGTCGTTTCTTACTCCACAGAGTTTTTGATGATGCTTTCTGCACAATGAAGCCTAGCAGGAGGAGAGGGAGCTGAACTGCTGATTTATGGATCTGATTTTACAACTGACTCCTGTAGTGAACTGTGTTAAATACTGTCTATGTGAAGTTTTGGACTATTACTTTGAAAAATCATTTTCGTTTTCATAATAAAAGTTTGATTTGAAGCATAGATGAAACGGTGGCAAAATAAACTTTGCTAGATATAACAGTGCTACGCTGTCGCCCCCTTGTGACGTAAATGTGTACAGACCAATGTTTAGAAAAATCTGGCAGCATACTATGTGGGAAAGAATCAATATCATATTCTGCTATAATTATATTAATGAAGTACCTCAAACATAATCTTTAGATTGCTTTGTGTTTGAAAAGTGGTGTTCATTGGGCATTGTAGCAATGTGTTACTCAGGATATTATAAAGAAAAAATAAAACTGCTTTTGCTGTTTCCATCTATCCTTCTTCGCTTGACCACTCGGCCACCAGTCAAGTCAACAATGATTTTATTCATATTTTATGAAAATTCTACATTTCTTGTTGGCACCCAAGTTCTTAAGGAAAATAGTTGCAACAATAGAAATAAGCCAATACGCTTGTGAGTAAATACAGAGCAAAAGAAGATTACATCCCGACGATGGGATTCGAACCCATGCGGGCAGAGCACAATGGAATAGCAGTCCATCGCCTTACCCACTCGGCCACCTCGTCATACTACAAGCACATTTTTTTTGCCTTTTTTTTCGAAAATTCTACATTCCATGTTGGCAACAGAGTTTGCAAAAAGGATATTTGCAACAATGAAAGTACGCCAATACGCTTGTGAGTAAATACCGAGCGAAAGAAGGTTACATTCCATGAGAATGGGATTCGACCCCATGCGTGCAGAGTACAATGGATTAGCAGTCCATCGCCTTGACCCCTCGGCCACCTCTTCATACTATGAGCACATTTTTTTTGACATTTTTTTTCGGAAATTCTACATTCCATGTTGGCAACAGAGATTGCAAGAAGGATATTTGCAACAATGAAAGTATGCCAATACGCTTGTGAGTAATTACAGAGGAAAAGAAGATTACACGCCGACGAGAATGGGATTCTAACCCATGCGTGCAGAGCACAACGGATTAGCAGTCCATCGCCTTGACCCCTCGGCCACCTCTTCATACTATGAGCACATAAGTGGTGTTCATTGGGCATTGTAGCAATGTGTTACTCAGGATATTATAAAGAAAAAATAAAACTGCTTTTGCTGTTTCCATCTATCCTTCTTCGCTTGACCACTCGGCCACCTCGTCATACTACAAGCACATTTTTTTTGCCTTTTTTTTCGAAAATTCTACATTCCATGTTGGCAACAGAGTTTGCAAAAAGGATATTTGCAACAATGGAAGTACGCCAATATGCTTGTGAGTAAATACAGAGGAAAATAAGATTACATTACGACGAGAATGGGATTCAAACCCAGGCGTGCAGAGCACAATGGAATAGCAGTCCATCGCCTTAACCACTCGGCCACCTCGTCATACTATGACCACATTTTTTTGCCTCTTTTTTCGAAAGTTCTACATTCCATGTTGGCAAAAGAGTTTGCAAGAAGGATATTTGCAACAATGAAAGTATGCCAATACGCTTGTGAGTAAATACAGAGCAAAAGAAGATTACATTCCGACGAGAACGGGATTCGAACCCATGCGGGCAGAGCACAATGGAATAGCAGTCCATCGCCTTACCCACTCGGCCACCTCGTCATGCTATGACCACATTTTTTTGCATTGTTTTTCGAAAGTTCTACATTCCATGTTGGCAACAGAGTTTGCAAAAAGGATATTTGCAACAATGAAAGTAAGCCAATACGCTTGTGAGTAAATACAGAGCAAAAGCAGATTACATTCCGACGATGGGATTCGAACCCATGCGGGCAGAGCACAATGGAATAGCAGTCCATCGCCTTACCCACTCGGCCACCTCGTCATGCTATGAACAAATTTTTTTTACAAATTTATTTGAAAGTTTGACATGGCTTGTTGGCAGCATAGGATGCAAGAAAGACATTTGCAACGATATAAGTACGCCAATACGCTTGTGAGTAAATACAGAGGAAAAGAAGATGCCCCTTCGACGAGAATGGGATTCAAACCCAGGCGTGCAGAGCACAATGGATTAGCAGTCCATCGCCTTACCCACTCGGCCACCTCGTCATGCTATGACCACATTTTTTTGCCTTTTTTTTCGAAAATTCTACATTCCATGTTGGCAACAGAGTTTGCAAAAAGGATATTTGCAACAATGAAAGTACGCCAATACGCTTGTGAGTAAATACAGAGGAAAATAAGATTACATTACGACGAGAATGGGATTCAAACCCAGGCGTGCAGAGCACAATGGAATAGCAGTCCATCGCCTTACCCACTCGGCCACCTCGTCATACTATGACCACATTTTTTTGCATTGTTTTTCGAAAGTTCTACATTCCATGTTGGCAACAGAGATTGCAAGAAGGATATTTGCAACAATGAAAGTACGCCAATACGCTTGTGAGTAATTACAGAGGAAAAGAAGATGCCCCTTCGACGAGAATGGGATTCAAACCCAGGCGTGCAGAGCACAACGGATTAGCAGTCCATCGCCTTAACCACTCGGCCACCTCGTCATACTATGAGCACATTTTTTTTGCCTTTTTTTTCGAAAATTCTACATTCCATGTTGGCAACAGAGATTGCAAGAAGGATCTTTGCAACAATGGAAGTACGCCAATATGCTTGTGAGTAAATACAGAGGAAAATAAGATTACATTACGACGAGAATGGGATTCGAACCCCTGCGTGCAGAGCACAATGGATTAGCAGTCCATCGCCTTACCCACTCGGCCACCTCGTCATGCTATGACCACATTTTTTTGCCTTTTTTTTCGAAAATTCTACATTCCATGTTGGCAACAGAGTTTGCAAGAAGGATATTTGCAACAATGAAAGTACGCCAATACGCTTGTGAGTAAATACAGAGCGAAAGAAGGTTACATTCCATGAGAATGGGATTCGAACACATTCTGTGTCCTCCATTTTGTTATGCTAAATAAAACAATTGGCATTTTTAACATTAAACGTTTCCTACTTTTGAGACAAGTAGGAAACGTGACATAGGCTATATGGTAATTATAGTAATACATTGAAAGGTATTTAAATATCGTAGACATGTGCTCAACATTCTGAAAAACTATGGTTAATAAATTCCAGTCAACAAGAACACAAAAAGCTTTGAATAAATACTGCTCGGACTACTTTTTTTAAACTACAGAATACGTGTTTTACGGATGGCTGGGATGCGTCATGGAGTACGTCATAGTGGTTTAGTAACTTTGGCTTAACTGCTTTGAAGAGCTGTCGTAGTTTGACATAAGTCACTCGGTGTTTAACCTTTAGTTGGTTAAAAAATTCCGTTGTGTTGGTGCAGAAAAGTGAACTTACTTTTTTGCCTACTGAACGTTGGTGTTTCTCTCTGTCTCTCATCTTTGTCTGTCGCCTTTACTTGCAAACTTTTTAAAAAGATCTACGCCACAACGCACCTGTAAATGTTCTGAAGGGGTGGGAGTGCGCGTGCGCGACTCATTAAGTACGTGAGGCAGTGAGGTGTATTTGCAGAGCGCCACATATCGGAAATAATTTCAATAATAATTTTTCCAACAGTGTCTTTTTGATGATAATTTTACTCAAAATCTCAATGATAATTCTATTAATTGCACTGGCCGTGTGACATAGAGGAACGTACTGTACAATAGCTAAGAGGTGCCTATTCATGAGTATAAACACAAGGACTAGAACACCTACACCACCAGCACTTTAATGCTGACAAATGTAGATTTTATGTAGCAGGGAATCATCTGTTTCAACCTGAACATAATGACATGACTGACGAAAACATGAACTAATTGTTCTTATTCTTTCTTTGTAATTGTTGGATGTACGCTGCCTCTGTCAGTAAAATAACTGTCTGTGAATCTGTCCTCTCGTCAGCAAATTGTTTTATTCACAGTAAGTTATTCACTTACTGAACATTTTCATTTTTCATTTATCATGTCTGACTACACTGGTAAAATCCCAGGAGAGTTGTGCTTTTGGAAACAGTGACACCAGAATGTCTGGCACATAACCATTTCACAGTCGAGGCTGTTGTTCTCCAATCTGTTACATATTTCATGGTTAATTATCGGTGTAACCTGAGGAATGAGAAGAACATGACAGGTGTAAAAGAACAAAAATAGACAGTCAAGTCAGAAAAAGGTGCATTTATTAAATTAAAATGTCTGCACAAAACAATAGAAAATAGCAAAAGAAGCTTAGTTTGTTTTTACAAATGATTCACGTGAACAGCCTTTTTAAATACACAATATAAACACACAGTTCCTCAAACTCTAAAAGAGATGACAAAAAAAAAAGTACTTCTTATGACGGCAAAAGGGAAGAGTAACTGTGCTAATGCAGTGTAATATTTTTATATATTTCAAAATGCTGTAAGGCAAAGAGTTTCCTAAGTAAAGCACTGCAGCTGCTCTGGTCCAGGCAGACAGAGCAGCTTTAGATGAAGAATAGTGCTGACCTGGTACTGGAGATACATGTTGTTCTTGTATATTTTGTCATATTTGAGCCTCCCTTGAATCTTTCATACGGACAAGTGGTCAGTTATAGAAATATAGTTCTGTTTATAATAAATTATACTATTTAAATAGTTGAGGGAGTCTGAATATTTGGTTTTGAGCCAATACAAATATCACCATTCAGAATGAAGGTTCACAATCCAGTCACACCTTTAAAGGCTAATGACAGAAGGACTGAATGATGGAGATCTTAACAGCTGTTTACTGTTAGAGACGACAACATGGACGATTTGACCAGGATGACATTAGATGAACAGGCACACAGTGGCCAATCGCAGCACGACACCTTGGAAGTAACTCCAAACCAAATGGAAGAAACACATTATGTATCGCTCTTAGCAGAACAATCTCATGCTGAACCAAAGGCAGCGGCCTTTGTTGTTCACAGTTACTGCAAAAGGTTAACATTTAGGCTTCATGATGTTCAAAAGCTGGAAGAAACAAATACTCTCTCAGTGGGTCCTTTACATTTGCATGTGAAAACTTTTTCACCTTCACAATAACTTGTCCCTTCTACATATCAACATAAAAGTCATAGCTAAAGGCAAATTTAGACATTTTTCTTTAAATAAACAGTGGTGAAGCCCTTGCCTCTTGCCCCATTTCTCGTCCATCCTACTGAATGGGATTTACAAACATAAAAAAAGGGAGCTGGACACTTAAGGATAAATCTGCAGGTGAAATAAGGGTCAGTTTTTTTGTATTGCTCAACCATTGCTCCAACACATTCACAATTGGTTGCACAAGGCGGAAGCTCTAGTTGTTGGGGATGCTCTGCAGATATGTCAGTATGAGCTGGATCTTTACTAGACGTTCTCTGAGGCTGGTCATGGAGAGGACAGAGAGCTGGTATTTTGGGTCGATGGGCAGGACGGCCAGCAGCCACCAGCAGCAGGCAGGACCATTTGGGGTGGCCTAGAGGAGGGGACAGCATGTAAGCCAACTGTTTTTTTTTTTTAAATAACCAATGGAAACATAATCACAAAGATTTGATGAACCATTTCATTAGGTCTTAAGTTGTCAACAAATCAAAAACTGTTTGTTGTGCAAACCAGTTTCGAAACAGGTTGGATTGATTTAGCCTTGACTTATGTGTATGTGTAATATGTATGTATTTTAATAGTCATGTCAAATGTCAATAGATTCTACCCTGTGCTTGTCCTGTGGAGTGGAATCCCTCATCGTTATCCTATATTCAACAGTCAGGAAGTCTACACTATTTAGAATTTTTACTAGAGTCAGAAAATAATTCTAAAGATCAACCTTGAACGATAGTGTTCACATTCTTGGAAAGTGAAATGGACAATGACTGATTGAGTTTACCTGAATATCATCTTCTCGCTCTGGCATGGCTCCAAAGTGCTGCAGAATCTGATTATGAAAGCGGATCTCAAGGTTCTGAAACCAGACCCGGGCCTGCTCGTAGACCGCATCGTGCAGTGTTTGTAAATTCTTCAGCTCATTACTGTCCTCCACCTGAAATAAAACCATGAATGAGAACCACAAAATGCTGTGAAAAGTATCTGCAGGACTATATGCCTTGATTCTTACCCTTGTATCCTCCAGGTGTTTAATATCAGCCGTGCTGTATCCGTCCTTCATTCCTCGTGACAAGACACGGAAGCGCTTTCCTCCAATTGTGTCCACCACTGATCGGCCGTCGTTCAGGAAGTGGACGCTCCTTATGATCAGCATGCAACCATAATCTGCGAACCTGCAGTTTAAATAAAGAAATGGTCATTTTGGAAATATAATTCTGCAGATGTCTAACATAAAATACTTAAATATCAAAATCAAATAAAAGTCTATACCAGTGGTTCACAAAGTGTGTGTGTGTGGGTGGGGCAATCAAATTAATTTTAAATATTTTTTTTCCCTAAAACTTCAGTCTCACCCTTTCTGAGGATCATTTATGCACATCCCAAACTGCCGGGTCCCTGTGTCCATGCAGCGTCGGATCATGAGGCGGTAACGTGGCTCAAAGACATGTAGAGGGCAAGGCACAGTGGGATACGCCATAGTGCACACAAATATAGGCACATTCTTGGTCAGGCTGAGGATGAGAAGTAGAAGTAAAACCAGTGAGACACTCTCAACTCATAAGACTATTGTGTAAGGAGTACATGTGACAACTTAGTGATGAAAACCGTAAAAAAGAAAAGAAAAAAAAGGTGTCACTAATTCGTCGGTTACTTACTCAGAAAGCTCTTTGGTCTCCTCCAGGTGAAACTTTGTTCGTTCAACATATTCTGGATTGAAATATTGTTTGATCAGCTTTTCCAAGACAGTTGTCACCTTGTACTTCCTACACGCCAGGTACTAGAAGTCAAAGATGTCAAACAATGAGTAATAAAGAAAACAACATAGATACATTCCATTGTTATTCTTGAACAAAAAAAACAAATAATGGTTTTCTCACCTCTTTTAAACTTTCCTTACAGAGGGGACAATGTGGTGTGTGGTCCAAGCAGCGTTCTAGGCAGTTCTTACAGAAGCTGTGGCCACATGGTGTTGTCACAGGCTCATAGAACAACCTTTGTTAAAAACGGACATGAGACAATCAACTGGCTGAAGACATTCTAGGTGGTAGGAAAGTCAAATAATGAAAGCAGCAATGTCCTTACCTCATGCAAAGGGAACACTCAAAGTCAACTGGATCCAAGAGATTCTTGGGAACAATTCTGCAGATGTTTGATTTGGCAACCAGCTGTTTAAAACCTGTAGAAAGCCCTGAGCACATTAAGGGAAAGATTTTTACAGGTAAGTGTCATTTCTACCACAGGTATCTGAGCTATAAAGATTAGCAGAACAAAATACACAAGAAAAAATCTTTAAAATCCCTACAGGCCCTAAGAAACGCCACTTGTGGTCCTTTTAGTTACCATATGGGTTAAACTAATATGATAAAAATAAAAAAAAATAAAATGCTGGTAATAAAGTAGTACAACAAACCTTGCTTTTTGTGCTTGATATTTGCACGATCCACAACATGATTTTCCACGTCTGACAAAGACAACTTCCTCTTGAGCAGGCTTCCCTTTTCCTGTGTTCTCAGTTGAGGAGCAGAGAAAACTCTCTTCAGACCTTCTTCTGATTTTAGGCTGTCAACACGTATGGAATGAGCGCGACTCAGAAATTTACCCTCCAGACTTTCGCTGATTTTCTGGATAAAGAGACAAAACAGAATACATTTTATAAACAACAAACAACATAACATTATATCTGTACTTTAAAAAGTTTCATCCTCAATATTACCTGATTGTCAGTGTGCGAGTGTGCGGAGGAAGCTCGGGCCTGGTGTTGCAGTTGGCACTGCATTTCAGCCATGATGGTTTTGCTGCGTACATGAGGTGATGTGCTTTGTGTTGATTCCCTCATGCCCAGCTTGACTTTCTCATCAGCAGTGGAAAGCAGGTCACACAGGATCTTTATAAAAACAATTAAATATGATAAAATATGAAATATGATGTCAGTATTACTTAATTAATTAATTAAATTGTGAGTTGTGACACGTCCTCTGTAAAGGAGGTTAAAGACAAAAGATGCGATAGATGTGTGTGGTCAAATTAATGTTTTGAACCTAAGTATGTAACAATAGGTGACAGCATCAAAAAGACATTTAATATCAACATTTTAGTCCAGGTCAATTAAACTACCTAACCTAGGCTTTGAACTGTGATTTATTTTTTTATTTCACGGCACTGACAGTGACGTGACTTTTTCTATTTTCTACCACTCATGAGTCATTTTCCAGACAGGCTGGCATAAACTGTTTTTCTGTATTTTTATTACATGGGTGCTAAAAAGTTATTTTGAGCCTTATTAAGCCTGATTTAAGGGAGCCTAAACATAACATGATGTTCCTGGCAGCATGCTGAATTCTCAGCATCAGAAGGTTCACACGGTGGATAAGAATAAACAGAGGTGTCAAAACAACCGACCCAAAATTATTGGGTTACATTTTTTTACATACTAATTACTTTACAAGCAGAGTCACAGGGTGGAATTAACGGTTCATAATTTCATCTTGGACCTCCCTGATAGATGATGAATGATGTGTGCTGAACTAAATGAAACTTTAATTTTAGATCAACATGGTTGATGTTCTGTTTTCTTTGATTATATTTGTTTCTTACCTTTTCAACTTGTCTCTTAGCTGAAAGGAAATCCTCATCCACAGCCAAACACCGGAGAAATACTCGGAGAGATTCATCCATGTTGCCCATTTCATGAAGCACCATAGCATTCTTGTACAAAGCCTAACCGAACAAGGTAGAGAAACAGACAAAATGTTACATTTACATGTGTTACATACCTTGGTTTAGCATAATCCAAAGACATAAACAATACACTGCTGCATTATTTCATATTTATGTGTATATATATCACATCATTAAGTTCATTAACATGTCAATTGATACAAACAGCTAGACAAAACAGGATATGCCAGGTTACACCATGTCTCACAGTTGATGAAAATCCAATTATCATTGAGCCATTTGAGAAGAATCACTTCATGTACCCAGAGCTAATGGTTCTTGATGAAACCTAAATTGTACCTCCTTTGGTACAGCAGCCAGGGCTAACAATATCAGACTAAGTTGCAGTAAGTTGCAAACATGCTGTAAAATCCTTGGGGGTAGTGAATGTGTCCTCTTTATATCTTGTTTTTTGTTTTTACTTTTAATAAATGAATTATGTTTACAAATATGTTTTTTGGAATAGACACCTTCACCTGTGAAGGACCTGTGAGTAACTTACTTCTGCAGAACAGTTGAAACTGGAACAAAACTCTGTGTCCTCCAGAGCTAGATCGTACTGTTTGAGACCCATGTATGCCTCTGCACGGGATAGACGTGCTACCACTACCATGTCTGGATCTGCAAGACATTTGAAAATACAAACATAAAAGGGCATATCCTTACTAATAATTAATTTAAAAGAGGTAAATTATATTATATATTTATATTTTTTGGTGTGTCGATAATTATCAGTAAGCAGGGGCAGGAATTTTAAGTTGGTATGTGTCAACCTAAGTGATTACTTAACAATGGAAGTCTTTACTGGACTGCAGTGTTTAAGTAACATGGGTCATCTGGCCATTAAATCACTTGACCCAAATACTGTGGACGGTTCCATACGGTCAAACATCATCAGGGTCAAGAACAAAATGTTTAGTGCTAGTTAGGAACATTTTCTTTGAACACGTATGTTATACTGTGAAATCTGCTTACTCTAATGATAGTGAACCAGGAAAATCGGAAAAACAAACAAACAAAACATTTTGAAATACTGTACATGGGAGTACAGACATTAATTGTGTTCATCTTTTTTGCATATAGTTATCTTACATAATGCTCAATTTTATTTCTTCCATCTTCTGTTTTCATTATTTGTCCACAAAATGGGGGGTTAACACTCATTTGCAGAACAAAATAAATGTATTGATTAAAAGTGACAGAATGAATCTGAGAATCAGAGCCGCTATCGAAGTATTAGCGTACTATTTAAACCAATATACAGTACATTTCTGTCATAAATTATGTTATTACGAGTGATTTTACCTTACGCATGTATTAAACATATTTCTCAGTGCATATTGCCAGTGTATTTCTTCTGAGCTACTTCAACAGCATATCGGCATGAACATGATTTTGCAGCAATATTTCAAATGGGTACTAAAGTATTGTTACAAAACTGATACGCACTTCCGTTATGTTACAAAACTAATTAAACAAAATATGTCACGACCTGCCTTATGCAATTTGCGGTAAGTGCGCATGCTCCTCGTGTATACTTTCGTAAGCAGGAGGTCGAGGCTTGTTACGTACACTGCTGACAGTGAAACTGAGAGAAAGACGTTGAAACGACACATTTGAAATACTTGTGAAACGCCGATGTCCCCTAGCATTTTATAGTTAGTTTTTCAAATTCTTAACAGTTAACGTTGTCTATGGGGACCGTGTAAAAATACACTCAAGTGGCCCAGGAACGGCCCCTTTAAGAGGTTATTTAAGGTTAGCACTCACCGCTGCTGTTGGTGACATCCGTCGCTAGCGACACAGCCTCCTGGTAGCACTCTCTCCTGCACAGCTCGCCCACTTGGCTAAGTGTTTTAGACATTTTCAGTTCCTCTGGAAACCATTTCTCTAACAATCCGCTCAGAATCACGTTGACTCTATTCTCCTTTAAGTGCACACTCTCCCCACACAGTCTACACCTGGAGAGTAGCCTTTGCTGTATACACCGTTTACAGTACGAGTGTCCACACGCCACAGTCACTGCTTCACCAACGAAGCAGTGACAGTTGGGACAGTCAAACACGTCCCCAGGGTCGCTGTCCCGGTTGTGTCCCGATGGGGCATCTGCTCCGACCACTTTTCTTTTAAAGTTACGAAGAATACAGTCCACGAAAGTGCCCAGGTCCTCAGGTCGTACGGGTCCATAGTGCATAGCTGCTAAAAACCAGTCAATAGCATCTTTCAGTGAGTCCTGTGATGCTAATACATTAGCTTTCTTTAATATAAGAGGATAGTAGTCGACCTCGTCCGGTCCGTTATCTGAGTCAGCTTGGCCGAAGAAGAAGCTGCTTCTCCCCTCGGCGGTGTCCTCCATTTGCAACTGGAGCGACATTGTTACCTCTAAAACCTAAAAAAAATACTGTATGTTTCTCCTGCGTCTAATTTCTCCGTATGGAGTCATATCTAGCAGCGTGCTGCCAGTACAGTAAACCGAATTTACTACTGGCATCCATTTGTTACATAAAAACACAGCCACGTGATTACATCCCAGTGTGGTGATTGGTCCAAACGCCGAGGTTACAAAACACGAGTTACAAAGTTTCGTAACTACGGAAAGGACGTAGTGTTTAGCCAAGGGAACTGTGCTTCACCGGAAAAAGAAACAGTTGAGTGCGGCGCCTGCTTTCAAAACTTGGAATATTGTCTCTACAATACCTTTATCTATCGTTATCCGTGGCCCCATATAAATACATATAAATACATGAAAAATGCATACTTTAGTATTTTTAATCGATATAAAATAATAAAAAACCCTACCAATCTTACCAGTGAAAGAAAGTATTGCCTTGTAGCGGTACAGTAAACGGGGATGGGTAAGGTATGTTTAGCAATTAATACATACGCTGAAAAGCAGTGCAGAGCTAAAGAAATTTGTTTTTATCGCTTAACTGAAATGAAAGGATCAACATTATAAAAATATTTCTGAAGTACCATATAGCGCCTAACTGCTTTGTCCCTACAACAGGCGAGAAGCATCCACTAGATGGCAGTGTTCTATAGTGTATGAAGACATGACCCACTCTTGTTTGAGCTGCGATATTTGTCATGCATTAATGCGTCCTGAGTGCAAGAGTGACGCAAACTGACTATTACGGTGAGGTTAATACCATGATAATAATACATTTCCATTAACACTGTGACTTGTAATGTCCTTTCTGTCTACGGCTGTCATGTTAGTATTTTCTTTTAAATTTACAACAAAACTCAGCCATTTGAACACCTGTATCGTCATACTCTGGATGGTATTCATAATCTGCATTCACTGACCTAATATCCTAGAAGAACTCAAACAGATAGACTTGTTCTACAAATGTTTGCTTTCAGACGTTGGAATTCCTGGACCATTGAGATATATTTGTGAAATGACAAGAGACAAACTGTGACTAACCCTTCTTTTCATGTCTATGTTGACGGTCTAACTACAGTCGTATGATGATTACATACCATTTTGGTTGCCATAACATTACTACAAGCCATCTAATGGAACATGCCAGTACACACTGAGATACATGACCCAGTGTTCCCCTCAGATATTTGCCATGTAAGTGGGATTTCTTGTGAGGAGACACGTACCCACTAGTCATGCTAGGGGTCACTTTTGTAATCTGATTGAAGAATGTAACCAGAATGCAGGTGGTTAGTTTAAATGGTCTTATTTTGATCACTTGGTCTGGTATTTAAAAAATAAAAAACAAAAAAACGTGTCTGCAGTTTAGAATCTTTTGATAAACGCTTGACCAACTGACAAAAACAACGTGCGCACACACACAAATATGCAAGTGTTCACACACAGTCACATTATTTATCAATGTGGGAAAGCTTCCACACTTGATTCTCAAACAACAGTACAGGAATGTGTGGCTGATGCTGACGTTGGGGAAGCCTTATCTAGCACTGCATAATCTCCATGAGGTGTTTGCATTCCGAGCAGAAGTACATACACATGTGCATATACGAAAAAACACAGCAGCAGTTAAATGTAGGACACTACCAAAAAAAGGAGAGAAAATTCTGTTCGTTTAAGAAATGTTATGTTATTTATTCTAAAAGAACTGCATTAGGTAAAGAAAACAAATATGGTTTTGGATGAGGTTTGGATGCTCTTACATTGAGCGTTTTGTGCTTTTTAGCTACCTTCAAAGTTTATTTCTCATGGCTAACTAAATGGGCTAACATTGTTTTTTTTCCCCCGCAACTTTATAGGGCATGGGAAAATATGTTAAATTCTGTTCTTTTTTGCCATTTTCATTTCCTAATTTTTCTTTTTTCAAATAACTAATCTATTGTGTACGTATGTATCTGGACAATTTAAAAATGATGTACTTTCTAGATTATCCCTCAAATTTAAGTTATGTTTTATCCCTCTTCTCTTCTCATTGCTACCCCAGACCAGATGTGGTACAATGGACCCCATTGTCTTCTGCTCTTCAAAACGGTTATGTAAGAACAAGACAAGGAGTGAGATCACCCTGGACCAGGCCAGTTCAAACCCGCCCGCATGCAGCTCATGGTTCGATGCTCTGATCCTGGGTTTAGTGGTGGAAGAAGACGGCTGCGGTGAGGATGACATGCATGTAAGAAGAGCAGGGAAATCCTCAGTTAATTCACACCGTGGATCTGACAAGATGTCAGCCTCTAGAACAGCCTGTAGTGTTGAAGGACGCCTGGACAACTTACAAAAGCAAATCTCCCCCCAAAAATCCCATATATCTTTGGTCTGAAAAGAAGTATGTGTATTGTTTGTGGTAGCATCATCAGACACACAGTTTATTTTATCTCCATATATTTAATAGTGCAGTTTGATTAACCTGTACAGAATAATATTACTAAAAAAGATAAAACATTTGTTTTCTTTTCTGTAACACAACCGCTTAACATTTACAATAAAATAAAATAAAATGATATGATACAAAAACAAAACTATATCTGAGGTATAAATATATTTGTTTTAAATTAACTGCCATCGCCATGCGTTACTATCGGACAGGGACACGGTTAAAGTTACTGACAATGATGTGAAAAGGATTTTAATGAGTTAATCGCACATTTCTACACGTTGAAGTCGAGCCCTCAGATAATGAATGTTACGATTGAGGGTCGACTTAAAGAAGAACGGACGTATTTTAAACACTGACACGACGGAACAGAGACAGAAGCATACGCAGAGATACATGTCCTTCTGTTGAAATCACACAATCACACACACACACACACAATCTGACCCCCTGTTTACAGTAAAACCTGTAAATGCTCCACCTTTATAAAAGGACCATTTTTCTCCACTTCCTCCTGTGTATCATAGGGCTCACCAGAGGTTCCTATTGCAGTTTTTTCATTGCAATACTTTCTGCTCTTGTACATTTACACCTTTATAAAATTGATATTCCTCTTGTTATACTTCTAATTATAAGTGTGGTCCAGTCTATGTTGACTCCAACGTCTGTGCTCAGAACAAAACTCTCTCTAACTTTTCCCCAAGAGTGAGGAAATTCTAAATTAAAAATAGTTCTTGTAGTTTTTTATTCCTTTGGTCCAACAAATCAGATTCTATCATTTTCACACATCTCCACTGGTTGATCACTGTGGCCGGCAATGTCCTACCAGGAAAAACTAAAATACTTCTTTGATAAAGTCACATGACGTGTTAGTTATGTTCTTATTGGTGGAATGAGACATTTATCACTTGTAAAGTGTGTTTTGAAAATGAGTCCTTTTTTACTTTAATTATTGCTTTCCCTTTGGTGAGCCAGCCACCGCATTCATCTGTCACTGCCTTCATTTACTACAATCTACAACTGACCTCCTGCCATCCCACCACTTCTCCTCCAGTATTCAGCCCCTGTGCAGATGGTTGCAACAGGACACGATACGACTACGGAGCCTCCATCCACATCAATCGGGCGCAAGAGAATTCAATGTTTAAACGGAGCAGCTGAATACCACTATGATCGCTGTAGTAAATATGCCAGGCCTGTATGTGGAGCTGTGTCCCCCATCCACTGTTAAAAAGAGGTGACTGGAGTAAGAGGTTACAGAGAGGCGGGGCCTAACTGCATTCAGGAACTTCATATACAGAGAGGATGCAGTTCTTCACCCCAAAACTTTGGTATCAATCAAATGCGATGCTGAATCTGCATCATTGCTCCAGGATCCGTAGTCGTATTGTTGCCGTGTGAACACCACCTCAGTCTCTGTACTGACACCACGTTTACATCTTCTTTCACTTTTCAGATTCATCAGTCAAATAACAACTATATCCTGTTCATTC